TGGGCATGGGCACAGTCACCCCAAACAGAACCGCGGGGCTCCGCAGACCTGGCTGGGGCTCAGCTGTCTGCTCCCCCTCGCAGGCTCCCACCACCCAGAGCACCAGCATGCAGGAAGGGAGAGCCAACCTGCCCCAGCACCAGCTTCTCCTCTGGGGACTGTGGTGGGGACACTGCAGAAAGCAGCTCCGTGCCCAAGCAGAAAGCCCCATCAGTGCTGTCTCACCCCACCATGGAAAAGCCTCTCTCTGCCTGGACACAAGGCTGCTACGCTGGAGAGAACACCCTGCCTGGGCTGCACGTGTCCTGTCTTCATCAAACACCAATGTTTCTGACACCTCTCCAGTGCCAGCAGAGCAGGGGACATCCCAGCAGCAGGAACTTCGCTCCAAAGGGCCTGGATGCAATGGTTGAGGGTCAGGCAGCCTTTCTGAACCCGCATCCCCAAGGGACCAGCAGGACAGAGCCAGCCCTGCTGCAAATGCTCTTGTTTCTGCAGCTGGCAGCAGTTTGCAGCAGAAGACACACATGATTCATCACTTAGTAGCAGAGTCCAGGGAACTCGGAAGGGAAGCACGTCTGGTTCTCCAGAGACACACGAGACTTTACTGTTTGCTGCAGCAGGCAACCAGCTCTGCCAAAAACACGCTCTTGTGCTCACCAGTCTCTGGACAAGGGGGGGACACTGGTGACCCAGCATGGGACCCCAGCATCCTGGGAGCTGGGACCTGTCGTGCTCCCTGGAGGCTGAATGAGCCATCAGACATCAGCGCTCCCCAGATGCACAGAAGGACGTGGTGCCCGAATGGTTTGGAGCGAGAGGTCCTGGTGATACCTGGCTCTGTACCCGTGGTCCTGCCCTGCACCAGATCCCTCTCCTCCTTATCACAGAATCATGGAATGGTTTGGGTTGAAGGGACCTTTCAAGGCCACCTAGTCCAACCCCCTGCAGTGAGCAGGGACATCTTCAACCAGATCAGGTTGCTCAGAGCCCCGTCCAGCCTGACTGTGAATGTTTCTAGGGATGGGGCTTCTACCACCTCTCTGGCCAACCTGGGCCAGTGTCTCACCACCCTCAGTGTAAAACATTTCTTCCTTACATCAAGTCTAAATCTCCCCTCTTTTAGTTTAAAACCATCACCCCTTGTCCTATCGCTACAGGCCCTACTAAAAAGTCTGTCCCCATCTTTCTTAGAGGCCCCTTCAAGTATTGAAAGGTGCAATAATCTCCCTGCATTCCCTGAGGAGAAGCTGGAAGCTGTTTTGAGGGATTTCCATCCATATTGCAGGGAAAGAAGAAGAGCTTTCACCACCTCCGCCTGCCTCGAGAAGGGGAATGAGTGACCTGCATGTAGGGCTTGTGCCACCATGGTGCTGAGCATGGATTCAAACCTCCTGCACAAACATGACAAGCCACTGCACTTCCGAGCACGTCACCCGTTCCAGGCTGTCAACAGCTGACCCAAGCTGGCCCACACTGAGCTCTTCTCACCACAGGCAATGTCCCTCAGGATGCCAAGGGGCCCCGTGACGTGGGTCCCCAGCACATCCCCGCCAGCTGCCATGACGCTCCCACACTCACCAGACTCGGGTGCCTGTTCCCCAGGGACATGACCGAGGCGGGGAAGGCCTGGCCCAGGCTGCCCACGGTGGCACTGTGGGCCGGTGCTGAGCCCAGGAGCCCGTGCATGTCCCCGTGGTTGCTCGGCATGGCAGCTGTCTGGCCCACGGCGTGATTCCTCAGCACGTGAATGGCTTCGTCCAACCTGTCTTCCATTTTGTTTTGCTTGAAGGAGAGGACAGAGAAGCAGCTCTGCGTTAGCGCCTGCAAAGCCAGCAGCCCGCTGCGGCTCTTAGGCTAAAGAACGGCTGGTGGCATCACCCACTCGGCTACCACAGGGCAGGATCAGGGACAAATAACCCCCCACCCCATCAGTGCCACCCTAAAGGGGACGGCACAAGCAGAACCGCTCGGGAAATGGAGGCAGAAACCAGCCAGAAATCTGACTGTCTGGGCCAGACCCACCGGGTGTGAACGGGCCCTGAGGAGGGACAGGGGACAGGGGACACGGCTGCGCCTCTGCCAGCTGCGCTCTGCTCAGCTGCCTCCCCACCAACGTCCAACTATCGACCAACCATCTTCCCTCAGGGCCCAGAGGTCTGCGGGACAGGACTTCACCCCCGAGCCCTCCACCGCCAGGCACACGAGGGAGGGAAGAGAAAAGGAGGAGGCAGATCTTCCGGCGACACTTACTAAAGTGTGGAGGCTCCCTTCGTAGCTGGGAGATAAGGCACCTTGTCCGCTCGCTCGCGACCACTGCGCCGTGCCTGCGAACGAACGGGGAGAGCTGGGGAGCGGCCATGGCTGCCACTAGATGGGGCTGGAAGCTGGGCCACCAGGCTCTGCGTGGGCCACCATGCCATGCACCATACTGCACCAGCCACCATGGCACTGCATGGGCCACCACAGCACCGCATGGGACACCATGGCACCACACAGGCCACCACGGCACCACCACAGCACCACATGGGACACCATGGCACAGCAAGGGCCACCACGGCATGGCATGGGACACCACAGCATGGCATGGAACACCACGGCACCCACATGGGCCACCACGGCACCCACATGGGCCACCACAGCACTGCATGGGACACCACAGCACCACATGGGACACCATGGCACAGCAAGGGCCACCACAGCATTGCACAGGCCACCATGCCATGCACCACACTGCACGGGCCACCATGGCACTGCACAGACTACCACGGCATCACATGGGCCACCACAGCACTGCATGGGCTACTATGGCACAGCATGGGCCACCACAGCACAGCATGTGCCACTGCAGCACCGTAAGGGCCACCACAGCATTGCACATGCCACCATGGCACCACATGGGCCAACATGGCACCTCACGGGCCACCACAGCACCTCATGGGCCACCACGGCACCTCATGGGCCACCATGGCACCTCACAGGCCACCACGGTACTGTAAGGGCCAGCATGGCACTGCTCGGGGCTGCACAGGGACGGTCACACCGCAGGCACGAAGCCGGCCACGGCACACACAGGCACAGGTTTCTCCCCCGCTCCCTGTCCCGGCTCTGCGTGGCAGTGGGGTGCCCACAGAGGTGTTTCATCTCGGAGCAGGTGCCACCTTGTCTCGCAGTGATGCTGTGAGGGGTCACACTCTGAGCCCACGGGCCTC